AACACATTTGCACGAATTCGGACCGAAACCATGTATTGTGGGTATGTATGTATTGTGGGTATGTATGTATGTATGTATGTATGTACGTACGTACGTATGTATGTATGTATGTATGTGTGTATGTGTGTATGTGTGTATGTATGTATGTATGTATGTATGTATGCAGGCACGTACGTATGTGCGTACGTGTGTATGTATGTGCTCCTGTTATTCGGAGAGCGGGCGCCCGAGCCTTGCTCGCACGTTTGAAGCCTTGGCTCGAGAGTTGGGCAGGCCCGCATCTTTATGGAGGATTGGCTGGCCGTGGAGTCGGAAATTGCCTGCTTCGCATCAATCATGCCGTGGAGCAGTGGGCTGAGTCTGGCTTCCTCGTCAGGCAGGGTATTCACAGGTTTTTCGACCCCATCCGGGTGGAGAAGGCGGTGGCCATTCTTCGTCACCTGAAGGCGCCCGCCGTCTTACCGAAGTAACGTTCGCATTTTCTCATCTAGCGCTTTTCACGGGTCTCTCCGATGCTGGCAGCAGCTGCGATGTTGCCCGGGACGGGTCCTGGGGCTCGTGCGCGACCTTGTATGTGCCTGTGACTGCAGCATGTATTTCTGTATGTATGTATGTATGTATGTATGTATGTATGTGTATTCATGCATACATATTTTACGCAAAACTGACTGAATTTTGAGGATGCTCCGCACTGGAGTGCGATTGTGAACGAAAAAAAATATTTTGAGGATGCCCCGCACGGGAGCGCGATTTTTCTCAAACTTTCCGGATGCTCCGCACAGGAACGCGATTTTACTTAAAAATTTCAGGATGCTCCGCACGAGAGCCCTTTTTTTCAACAAAATCAGGATGCTCCGTTCGGGCCCACGGTGAATGTGAGGACCAAACAGCTCCACGACATCATCGCGGGGGGCCGCCGTTTGCCGATTCGCATCGAACGACTGACGATTGGGCAGGGGTGCTCCACGTTTCTGCCCCGTCGGTTTTGGATTTGGCGCTGGGGCTGTGCACTCTTCATTCCTTTTGTGCGCAGCAAAGCCGGCCCGGCCAACGGCACAACTCCTGCATCCAACGGTGGCTGGCTTACCGAAAGGCCATTTGCAGCCTCATTCCAAGGCGTCCCCTACGGCAAGATGGCCCCTCATGCGCAGGTGAGCCGTTTGTGCATCCCCCTGTTTTGGCCCGGGCCTTCTGCATAGCACGGGGGCCACGGTCCGGGCGCAAAAGGATTGGCACGCCGGGCCAGATGCAACAATTCGGACAGTCTTGGGGACGCGCAAAACTTAGATGGCGGGCCCACGTTTTACCTATACGGCGCTTGGCCGCATAAGATTTCCGGCATGTGCGCCTCCCTGCGGCGCCAATTACGCCGAAGCACGTGACGAGGCCGTGTGGGGGATGTTGCTGGACCTGCTGGGCGGGATCGCGTACGCAGAGCACGCCCGGGCCCTAGCCGTGCCTGCCGTGAGGCAGCTAGGGCATTACCGCAGACAGAAGGTTGGGTTGACAGGAGTCTTCCATTCCAGCACCCCCACGCCCCCCAAACGACGAGGCAGGCCCCGGTGACTGGCCGCATGGCTGGCAGTTCCACACGTCGCGCACACACAACACCTACTTTGGCGACCGCGTTTTGCTGCCAGCTTTGCCAGCCAGCCACTGCGCTGCTCCCATCGCAGGCTGGACCACACGCATGAGCGTGGCCCACCGCCATCCTTAGCGAGGCTGCCATGACCATCTTGGCCTCAACTCACTGGCAAGGAATGTGGCCTGAAGAGAGAACTTTGCACCACAAGCGCGCCAGCCAGCACCAGCACCACCACCGTGCACCCAGATGCAGGTCTTGGGCACTCCAATTGTCGGGCCCAGGCGCCCGCCGCAAGGTGTCCCGCATGGCACGCTGCAACTCGTCCGCAGTGATCTCGATGGAAGACACCTCCACAACATCATGTGAGACCTGCTGCAGGAACTTCTGCAACTCAGCAGCAACACCGAGCCCATAGTCCTGATTCCAAACGTCCACCCACTCACGCTGCTGCTCCTCCGCCGTTAACACAGGATGGATGGCAGTTGCCCAGATCCCATCACCAGAAGGCCCACTGCGTCACCAATCTCGCGCAAAGCATGAAGGTCATCATGGAACGCACGAAAAACGAAGCCTCTCATGCCATGATTGCCTTCGAAACTGTAGAAGCCGCCGAAGGAAACGCCTCATCCGAATCAGGTTATCGGCTCGACGCCCTTGGTCCTTGGTGCCACCCCGGGGGCCGTTGTGTGCATGCGCAAGCCACTGCTGCGGGACAACCTTTAACGCAGATTGTGGGGCATGCAATCGCCGTGCACACGCAGTTGTGGGGACGGCGCGTGGCTGCGCTTGGTCAATTGTTTCGCCGACAAGCACGGCAAATGCCCCGCCGCTTGAGCGCGCCGAGTCCTGCAGCCGGCCGCCAATCCGTAGGAACCCGTAGTATCCCGTAGTAAGACCGACCAGGAACTATGGTTGTGCAGGCATGAAGTCCTTGGGTAAAAAAATTGTGTTACATGGCACAAAGGTAGCCCAATGGTAGCAAGAATTTTTTTTTTGTTTCAGTCTACTGGGTTTCAGAATTCGTGTACCATTTTGCTTGAGCAAGGTAAGGAGAAGGCAAACAGGCAACAAGTTGCGTTTCACCAATGCCATGTGAGGGCATGCTGTCAAGGAGCCAAGGTTATCAAGATTCATAATTCGAACAGGCAGGAATCAGCTTTACCCGAGGCAAACACATGCAAACAACCCAGTATACCCTGGTGCTGCGTGGCTGCAAAGGCCTGCGGGCAAGTTGTTGTTCGCGAAATTGGCCTCAAATCCCAGCCATGACAGCATGTGTACAAGTTTGTGCAACGCGATTGTGCCATCCATGCGGATAATGTCAACGGACATGCGTGACACCGTGCTTTTAATTATGTCATACCAGTTTCGCATATGCCCCTCATACGCCACTCGTAGTTTTGCACTGGCATGTCATACCACATCAGCCAGGCAAAGTTGGAACCATGCATGCCAGGGTTTCTGCGTCATTTTTGGGGTCACCATGGCAGCTTCGCACGCACGAACGAGGCCCTTGCCTGATATGTGTGCATGCGTTCATCCCTGAACAGCGGGCGCTTTGTTTGCAGGCTTTCCGGCGTGTCGCCTTTGGCCCGCGCTAGTGCTCGAAGCAAACAGGAGGCATTTCAGCCAGCAAAGAAACACAATTGCACCGTTTGCATTATGCCATGCCAGGACATTGAGAAGATTCTGCAAGATGCGGACGCCAACGAAGATGGGGTGTCGGGAGCTTGGCTTGGTCATGTGTTGTTGCGTTCATGTGCTTCAATATTAATTCGTGGACGCGTGTGGACTAAGGTTGTCGTTGCAGGACCCGGCAAGATTTGAGCAACCATCATGCGACCATGCTGGATGCGGAATTGCAACCATGAAGCGGGAGTCCGTGCCGATGAGGTCACCGACCCCGTCAGCATGCCATTCCAGATTCCGCATGGGCGCAACACAATAACCATGCAAACCAAATGAGTTCCGAGCGAGTAGTGCTGTCAAAATGCAACACCACCCGAGCGTCCTGAACATGTATTGCCGGACACAGAATGACACTGTGGCGTGTATCAAGACATGATTGGCATTGGCAATGCTATCCGCCATGTTTGCGGCCGGCGACTGGGCCAATATCCTTATGCGACATCAGCTGGCCAAGCCAACCCCATCCGTTACTTGGACACATTAATCCCATGTGTTTACATGTTTGGATCATGGCATTCGAACAAAGGCCATGAACTTGCGGACATGGCGAGTAGAAGGGATTTGGATTCCAGAATGTTTTGTCACATCAATCGAATGTTGCGTTTTCTCCTGGCAGGCAATCACCTGGGCAAATTTGTTAAATTATGGCTGGGACAAGCAACCTTCTTATTTTTGTTACACTGAGGGGGTGCAAGGAATGTATCGAAGATACGTGCATGATGCTTCCTACGAAAAAGTTGCCATTGTTCAGGGAGGCGGCGGCCACATGAATTCTAGACAGCGTTTTGTTGTTGCGATTGCAGCAAGGTTGGGCAGATTGCGCAGCCTCATGTAGGCTTTAAGGGGGAAGAAAAATTGCGTTGATTCTTATGGCATGGTTGCGCGGATGCTTGCTGCTGACATATTGCCCGCACGCATCAACACACAGTATTACGCCAGACTTAGGGTGTGCATTGTTGATGAGGATATGCGCTGTTGGACGTGGATGGCGTGTGTATCCTTGCTGGGGCGGAAATCCCTGGATCATCGCAGGTAGGTTCGCATTGCAGTACCGTGCGTGGTTTTTGCATAGTGCGAGTGTATGGCACAAATGGTTTTTGGATGGGCCGCTTTAATGTTGCAGGCCCTGGCTAGGCTTCGCGGCTTGGCTGAAAGCCAGGGTTCATGCTAAATGGCATGAAGTTGCAGATGCATGGCCAGGTGCGTAACCAGCGCTGAGGCAAAAACGTTTGTTCCAGATTCCAGCCCGGAGTAAGGAAAATCCGTGCGAGCATGCCGGTTCATCACCAATCAGTCGCAGGTGGGCTGTAGTCCCATGCACGGAAAGATTGTGGATAACATAGCAGATGCCTGGGTTGGATGTGGATGTCATGGCGTGGATGAGAACAAGCCCTGACAAGTTGGATGCAGGAGCCGTGCTCCGTCGTGCAACACAAGCTCCATGGCGCGGGCTTCCATGTAGGCATCTACAGCTGCAATTTTGTTTGCACTTTACAGACAGACAAGCAGACAAGCATTGGAACCAATGAGTGGCCTAACCATGCAAGCAAGATAGGAAAATATCAGGTGACGGGGAGATTTTCAGCGCACTTCGGGCTGCGCGGCATTTTGTGAAGCAGCGGCAACTCCGGCGCCTCGCTTGCAATGTCCCTGGTTTGTCACATGCGTGTGGAATGGGAAGCTTGCGGATGCTGCCAGGCCATTGTGTTTATTGACAGAGGCGGCTATGGAGGTACAAGCAGCCATCACCAGAATGCATGACTTCTATGCGTACCAGATTTTGCTGTCTTCACAGCGTGGCCAGGAGTTCCAGGACGTGACACAGCACGACCCAACCGCAGTGGTCGTCGGAACCGACACATGGAAATATTCATGTTTGCACAATTCTATGTGCGAAGCCCCATTGTCTACGTCCAAGTGGTGTGAGTAGCATGTAACCAAGGCGCCGGAACAAATGCACTATGAGCGGCTGACCGAAGCGATGCGAGTGCTTCAGACCAACCAGGCAATGTTCATGATGTAACCAACTGGTATCAAGTGATGATCATGTTTTGCTTATGCAGTCGTTCGATGGCATCCGCGCAGGATAGCCATCTCATAGCGGCGCCCGGATTGCATGGGGCATGCTCATGCGGACTCTGGTCATGATGCGGCCACCAGATCACAGCAGTTGTTGCAGTAGCACGATTCGATGAGCTAAGAGTTAGTGTTTGGGCTGAACGTTGTGATCGGCGAGGTGAACAAGGGCCGGTACTTCCAACGAGCTGATGGCCTCGCCTTGCAGGCCTGCATTTTGTAACATGAGGCGACTTCTTGCCTACACATGACTTTCGAGCATGAGCCCTGTCAATACAACTGGGTTTGGAAACGCACTTTTGTGTTTGTACACTTGGGGTGAGTGGTGTCATTGGGGTAGGAATGTGACATCGTTCAGCCAACAGCTGTGTCCAAAGGTTCATCTTTACTTGCAGGGATGAATTCCTACATTGAAATCTCCGCATTTGCAAACTAGGTGACTCATTGCGATTTTCTGGATGTCCGCCATTTACTGTTGGGTCTAGAGAGTCTAGGAACAGATTTATAGCATTTCATAGCTAATTTGTGGGCCTTGAAATTATCACCGCCCACAGCTTCAGTGCAGCCGTAGCTGTTAAGAGGTGCATTTGCCAAGCGAAAAAACGGAGACCCATCCATCAGCGACAGCGTGAAATGTGCAAGGCCGGCCCATTTGTGGCGGCACTGGAATATGCCACAGGCGTCCTGCACGAGCGCATGAGTTTGCCAGGTTGAAGGTGCATGGTTTTCAGCATTTTCTTCTTGCGAGGGTTTCGTCAGCAAATAGCCCCTGCGATTCGAGGGCCAGCGGTTTGGGTTTGTTGTGTGCGGTTTCCTGCCACGCATTTATCAACCAGCTGGCGAATGTACACGTTGCTTCGAAAGATAGTGTTTCTATTTTTTCTACGGGCGTGATTCTGGTAGCCCTTGATAATGTTTTTTCCCAAGCCCAAGGGCCAGCATTGCTTTCACGTTGACGGTCAGGTTGGATGGGACAGCTTCAGAGTTTCCATGCAGTGCTTGACCAATATGGCTGATGTGAGGCAAGACCGCCACGGTTGTCGGCAAGCCGAAGCTCGGATATGGAAAATCTCGCGTCGGCACACGCTGGCTGTTTGAGTTTTTCTGTGCAATTCCATGTATATCCAGATTGCTAAGCGGCGTTGGATCTGTTGTTCCGTGCTACTTAGCTTCTTTTTAGACGTCTTAGACTCCAAAAATAACGGGCAGGGATCTTCTCGAAAGCCATTTCATCTTTCTGGTAGCCCCGCCCTGAGAAATCCCACAGTTAATTGCGCAACTGAGGGATTGGGAGTTTTTCCATTCGGCCGCGGAGGATGCGTCCGGGACCATTGGCTCCGCTACCGAGCTGCCCTTGGGCAACTTCGTGATGATAGGCAGCCACCATTTCCTGGAGTCCCTTTTCAAAATGACTCGCTGTCTTGATTTCAAGTCGGTTTGTAGTTTGCGTTTCCTGCGCCGAATTGGGCCGATTAACATGAGCCATCACACTCTTGATCTATGCATTGCCGGCAGGGGACGACGTCATAGACGACGTCCAAGGCCAGCCACCTGAGCTGAAGAGAACGTTGGGAAATGGCGCGGCGATGTTAATCCAGTTTGCATTGCATTCGTTGTGAGCCATCTCCGCTTGCAAAGACACCTGATTCTATCCAGCCTAAGCTCCAATTGTTGCGTTTTTTTCCAATCAGTTATCTGCTTTTGATGGGAAGTCGTGGCTTCAGGCGCCATGCGTGCTGGCATGAGGGCGATCCTCGTGAAAACAGGCAGGGGTGCCACAAGGGTCCAACTCGCCAAATAGCGTTTAAAGCCTCGATGTCTGTGTACTTGGGCCTTCAAGTTTCAGCAAAGATTCTTTTGTGTGTTTGCTCTGCTGCGACATCATAGCTCCCAAGCATGCTGTGGAGTCGTTTCCAGCAAGTGCAAACATGAAGCGGTCTGTGTTCTGCTACACTATGCACCTCTGATTCCGTTCAAGTTTGGACATGTTGTAGCAGCATAGCAATTGAGGATCTGGCCGAAAGTGCGGACCAGTGACTCTAGGGTTCCTAGCAAGAGTCAGGCAAGTACCGCCCTGGAGACGAGAATCGGTGCGAGACATCGCCCCTGGCCGTGGTAGACAGCTACTGGGCATGTTTAGGGCTTGCTGTTCGGAACAGCAGTGCGAGTAAATCTGGGCGCCTCAAATACTTGCAATACTCTGCTTTGGGAGGTCTAGATAATTAAGGTCACGGTCCATAAGTCAGAGGAAGCTGGCGGGGCCTTCTAATTTCCCCGTGGGTCTTTCTGCCAAAGGGGGCCCCTAGCCTCCTCCATTGCGGACTGAAGGCCGTGCACGGTCAAGTATGTTGAGACCTTTTAAATTTCTTTTTCTGCACATTCATCGACCGTTGCACGACAACGTGCTCGAGGCTCATAGTTGCAGCCCAGCTGAGTAAGAGTTTCGGACTGTTTAATTGGGCGTCTAGGATCTTTGTTTGAAGAGATGACTCCTTCCTGCTTCGAGCGAGGCCGTTTCTTAGAGGTGCACTAGGATTCCTTTCCTAAGGTTCGCATTAATTGATTAATTAGCATTACCTTGAACAGGCTCATCGGTAGCAGCCACCCACATCAGATTGCAAGAACGAGAAGGGTGATGAAGCTGAACCAAAAACCTTGAACCGCGGATTTCAGGCCTTGAACACGCCGTGGACTTCTTACATGACACTGGATTGCTTGAATGATGGCGAGCGGAAAAAAGAGAAGGGCTTTTGGTCTGCAATGTATACGGTGATAGGCGTCAGAACTGCAAGGCTTTTGCTCCATGAATTACATGTCTCGCGTAGGGAGTTTGGAGCCTGGCTCACTCAGCATGCGTCTTTGTTGAGTCTTCTAAGTCAGTCTTGTCACTTCTAGATTGGAGATTGTTTCTTCACGTCCGTTTCATTGAGAGGTGTCGATGTTGATTTCAACATGGACCAGAAACAGGTTCGTGTTGTGGGCTTCTTGGAATCCCGTCCCCTCATGATACTCATAGAGTCCCCCACCCCCGTAACAGCAATTCTCGCCCACTATGACACGCAGTCCCGTATTTTTTTGTTCCGGGCGTGGAAGGTTGAATTATTAATTGGGCAAGTGCACAGGCTCATCCTCCAAGACGAAGCCTCCCAGTATCTTCATTCGCAAGTCCTGGCATCTACTCAGTTGAGACGGTGTTGGGGGGGCTCTCTCCCTTCTCAAACCATTTCTGGCCCCAACCTTTTTCCTCTGGTCGATGCAAAAGAGCTGCTTTCGCCTCCTGAGGCCTCTTCAGAGACCGGTAGGGGTTGCTGTCCAGCGGTGTCGAGACGCTTGAGCCCAACTTGTGGGGTGAGCACTGGCCGTGCAAACTTGGCTTTGTCAAATCCATTATAACTCAAACCCGGTTGCCACTTGAATTACATTCCAGTGTCCCTTTATACGACATGCTAGAAGCCGTGAAAAGCGCGTGAAAGCATACCAGATCATTTCAGGCATGCCATCTCGCCACAGACCTAGGACCTAAGATGATTGCAGTAGTCCCTGCAAAGGCACCAAGATGAAGGGAAGCTGCAATCTAAATCTGGGATGCACAGGTTGCAGGCTTGAAAGCACGTTTGCGCATGTCATACGAATTTGCGATGTATGTGTTTTAAGCTGTTCAACTTGCAGTATACACCTCTTGCGGCACATGCCTCTCAGGCTTTAACAGGCTTGCGGTGTCCTGGGAAATGAGCATTTGCTGCAGGAGCTGAACAGTTACCTGGGAGACTACCTGGGATATGGAGAAGCCGAAATCAGGCCATGTTTTGGCGACATATGCTGGCCTCAACCCCTAAATTTAAGCAATTAGGCCTTTATAAGCTTAGCCTGTGACCATTAAAATAAACGTCTATAAGCCGCATAAAACATGAGAACTGGAGTCCTGATCTCCATGGATGACGTTAGGGTCAAAACTTTTGGGGGCGTCCCAGCCTATCCGTCACCCGAATAATCAAGCTCAACCTCATAACAATCCGTTTTTTACATTGTATTATGATGCAGTGCATTGGAAACACTTTCTAGTTTCCAAGGGGGGGGGCAGGGCGTTTTCCATTTTCAGGGCGAGGGGATTTTCAAAATCACCAAGCCCACTGCTCCCTCAGAAAGAGGTTTGTGCCATAGATTTTTTACTCAATCCTTGCCTTATCCTTGCGGTCACAAGGTCACAAGAAAGAAGGTAAACATGCATCTCTTAACGCTTAATAGTCTTACTGTTATCCCCGTTTCGGGTCCAAGGGAGTATTCAGAGGTTTGGGCCCATATCGTAAGAAGTGGGTTTCGGTAACCACGGCCGTCAGAATGAGGACCCACGAGGATCCTACAAGAGTCAGATAGCCAAAAGTTCATTACGTAGCGGATTGGGCTGGTACAGCATAGTGTTGTTTGTTGGGATGTTCCTGCGATCGACCTTGCAGACAGGTCAGCAAAAGATGTGGAGATGCTTATGGCTATGGGGTGTATCTCCGAGAGCCACAAGCTTTTGACGCAGACCAGATCTTGTTCTTCTATCCTGGTTCCCAATCTGGTTCAAGAAGTTGCTTAATTCCAGTGGCGTTGAACATCTGACTTGTCACCCTCCCATTGATTCCTTGAGCGAGAAACTAATCTCTGGAACCCAGCGATGTAGTAGAAGGTCTAGGCAGACCACAGGTGCCCCCTTCTTCTGGATTTGTTTTCGGGCCAGCAGGGTTTCCACATGTGTATATGCATATATACACACATCAACATACGAAAGGACCGGATTATGTCTACCATCTACATATACAAGTATATACAGATGTATCTAATGCCCGGTTGGTTGATCAACGAGCTGTGCGCCCAGAATCGCGTGTGGATTTCAATCCCAGTGGCCCCGTCTAAGTGACGAGCTGCGCGGTGCAAAAGTATGCTGGGACATTCTAGGCCACATATCACCCAAAGCTCATTGTGAACAGTCATATGCACCCCTCAAGGTTTGCACCGAAAGTTCTTTCAACCAAGCACTTTTCGAGCCCCAGAAGCACTTGAACAACACCCTGGGGGCCCAAGTGCCCCAGTAATGCAGGTATAGGTCCCAAATACTATGTTCTAGATGGGCTACCTACAGCCCTTACCTTTAAGTACTTGGACGCTAGGGAAACCTTTCTACCTTGTCCCCCCCTATGAAGACTGCAGTAGTAGTAGTAGTAGTAGTGGTAGTAGTAGTAGTAGCAGTAGTAGTAGTAGTACATAGTAGTATTAGGTCTAGTACTAGTATACTGGTACTAGTATTAGTAATGACAATACATAAAATAGGTTACGGGGTCAAAGTCTACCGTCGCGTTTTGCTACATTTCACAAGAGGAACTTTGCAAAAGGACTGTGTTTTGCTGGATTTCACCACTGGAACTACATAAAGGACTGCGCTTTGCCACAGTTCGCAATAGGAGCTATGTAAGAGGAAACGA